CCTCGTTGATCGCCTCTAACCCCTCTGCCTCGGTAAGGCATCTCAGATAGGCGCCGGAATGTGATCTCTTGTATAACACATCATCCACGATGGTGCATCGAGCTGCCTTCCGACGAAGGCGCCAGGCGTCCTTTGGGTTCTCCGGTACGACTCCCTGCGTTAGGAAGAGGCGAATTGGTGCCATCCACCCTTCTTGCACTCCCGATAGGTTGGAGGCCATTACCACCTCCTCGTGTGGGACTTCCTTTGCCACGATCACCGTCCGACTCTCCTCAAAGTCTAAAGCCGTAGCTAACTTAGACAAAGCATCTGCATGAGCATTCTCTTCTCTCGGGACATGCGTAAAAGTTACCTCGCGAAACCAAGCGCATCTCTTCCGCACGGATTGCACATAGGCGCATAGAGCCTCCTCTTTCACTTCGTAAATTTCGTTCAGCTGATTGACCACCAGCGCTGAGTCAGTTTTCACATTAACCCTTTGGGCGCCCAGCTCCCTTGCATAATGAAGTCCGGCCAGAACAGCCTCGTACTCAGCCGCATTGTTCGTTTTGAGGGTCGCAAAACGAAGCGCAATTTCATGAAGGGCGCCTAAAGGGCTAATGAGCACCATGCCGGCCCCGGCGCCTGCCCGACTTGCTGCTCCATCCACATGTACTTGCCAGTATTCTTCAATGCCCGTCCCTCCGTCGGCCACACCTTCGGCCATGAAGTCTGCCAACACTTGAGCTTTAACAGCTGGACGGGGCGCATAGCTTATGTCAAATTCACTTAATTGTACGGCCCACTTCACCAGGCGCCCAGACACATCCATTGATCCAAGAACCGTCTTTAATGGCAGGTTGGTGAGCACCACGATTCTATGAGCCTGAAAATAAGGTCTGAGCTTGTTCGCGGCCATTACTACCGCCAAAGCCGCCTTCTCTATGGGTGCATATCGCGTCTCATGGCCAACCATGGTGCGGCTGACGTAGTACACCGGTCGCTCTTCATTCGTTAGCGAGTCTTTGGATATCAGTACAGCGCTCACAGCGATGTGGGACACCGCTATGTACAAGTATAGCACTTCCTTGGCTCTAGGCGCGGTCATTACCGTAGGCGCTATGAGTAGCCCCTTCAACTCTTCGAACGCCTTGTTGCATTCTTCTGTCCATCGAAACTTGGTGGCCTTTTTCAATACCTTGAAAAAGGGGGCGCCCCGGTCCGAGGCTCGCGGAATGAACCGTCCCAACGCCGCTAGCCTTCCCGTCAACACTTGCACTTCTTTCGGCGTTCTTGGGGGCGCCAAGTTCTTGATGGCCTCCACCTGCCTGGGATTAGCCTCAATCCCCCTTTTTGTTATCATGAAACCCAAGAATTTTCCCGCCTCCGCAAAGAACACACACTTTTTGGGGTTAAGCCTCAAATTGAATCGGCGCATCGTCTCGAAAGTTTCCCGGAGGTCCAGGATATGATCTTGGCGCCTCTTGCTCTTCACTATCAAATCATCCACATATGCTTCCACGTTTCTCCCTATCTGCTCGTGGAAGACTTGGTTTACCATACGTTGGTAAGTGGCGCCTGCATTTTTTAAACCAAATGCCATGACACGATAGCAGAAGTTGCCAAAAGGTGTCATGAAGGCCGTTTTCGCCCGGTCCTCCTCCACCATAGGGATCTGATGGTAGCCTGAAAACATGTCCAAGAAGCTGAGCGCTTCGTGATACGCCGTCGCATCTACCAGCAAGTCGATGCGTGGCATAGGGTAAGCATCCGTCGGGCATGCCCGGTTGAGGTTAGTAAAGTCCACGCACATTCTCCAATCTCCCGACGGCTTTGGGACAAACACCACATTGGAGAGCCACGTAATGTACCTTGCCTCCTCCACAAACCCCGCTTCTCGCAACCTGTCGACCTCATGCCGGAGCGCCTCTTCTTTCTCGGGGGTCAAGTTCCGTCGCTTTTGTTGCACCGGCCTTTTACCTTCTTCCACTGCCAGCCTATGCGCCGCAACTTCGGGGGACACTCCGGGCATATCCCGAGCGCTCCACGCAAACAATTCTCCGAATTCTCTCAGTAACTCGATTAAGGGCGCTCGCATAGCCTCTGGCGCCTGTGATGATATTCGTATTATCTGTTCTGGGCGCTCCTCGTCCAATATCACAGCCATCTCATCGTCCACTGGCTCTGCCCGGGGCGCCTCCTCCGGACTGATGTCTACGATATTCAGTCTATGCTTCCGACCCCGATTCTTTGAGTCCTCTTCTCTTGCATATCGCGGGACATTCCTTCCTCGCGAGACGCCTACACCTTGAGGAGCGACAAACTTCAGCGTCTGATGGCACGTCGAGGCTACCCCATTGAATTGTGCCAAAAGAGGTCGGCCAAGTATCACATTGTATGGCGAGGGACAGTCAACGATGCCAAACTCCACCGCATGCGTTACGCAATGCGCTTCGTCCCCTAGAGTCACAGGGAGGCGTACACGCCCGATGACTTGAGCAGGTGCCCCCGAAAATCCGACCAACACCGAATTTGAGGGACGCACCAACTCAGGTGCCAGCTGCATTCGTTCGAAGGTGCTCTTGAATAGGACATCCATAGAGCTGCCTGTGTCTACCAACATTCTCTTCACTTTACATCCGGCTATCACTCCTTGTATCTCAAGAGCCTCTTCCGATGGAACTTGGCACGCCTCATCCGGTTCCTGATTAAAGTGGATGTGCACGGCTTCCCTGGCTTCAAGCGACGCAGCTCGCAGGCGCCTAGATCTCTCCAACTTCTCTCTCAAGTCAAGGGTACCCGTTATGGACTCTACTGTAAGCCTTACTCGGCTAGGTTCTCCCTCTTGATCTACCTCAAACGGAGGTGGCGGAATAATGGGCGCCGGCCCAGTTTCTGGTTCTTTGGGCGCTTCTCTGACCGTGGGCGGCACCACGGTTTGGGTTCTTGGTTCTCCAGTCGCCCTCCTCTGTTCTGGCACCTGCCTCGTCACATAGGTTCGATGCGTCCTGTCTTCCACCCTTCTGACGAAGTCGTTGAGCATGCCCTTGTCAGCTAAAGTTTGTAGTTCGGACTTCAGTTGATAACAATCGGCCGTGTGATGCCCCTTGTCGCGATGGAAGTCACAATATCTGTCAAGATTCTTTTCATTAGGCTGGCCGCGCATGGGCCCCGGCCACCTTATATGGTAGCCCCTATCCTTCACATATTGTAGCACATTCTTGAGGGTATCATTGTACTCTGTAAAATTTGCCGCACTCCTCGGCACCTGTCGTGGCGCCTCTGGTCTCCTTGGTGGAACGAAATTTCCGGGACCAGGTCTGGGCGCCTGCCTCACCTCTCCTTCATCACCTCTTAGGCGCCTCTTCTCAGCCCTTCGCGCCGCCAAAGTTTCTTCCAACATAATCACCTTTTGTACTCTTCGGTCAAGGTCTTCGGTGGATACTACATCTCGCTTGGATAGGACCCGGCACAGCTCTTCGCTTGAGGTGCAGGCATCCAAGCAGACCCCTAACACTGCTGGTTGCACATCTTTGACCGCCATGGCAACCGAAATCCATCGATCATAAAATTCTCTGAGCGCCTCACCCTCCCTCTGTTTGACTTTAAACAACGCCCCTATGGTCAATGTCCGACGCTTTCGGCTTGCAAACTTGGACAAAAACAACTCAGCAAATTCTTCGAAACATTCTATGCGCCCCTCCTCAATTTGGTGGTACCAATCCAGGACTACGCCCGCGAATGTGGATGGAAACACCTTGCACAATGTGGCGTCGGAGCTGTTGTAGAGCTGCATCTTAGTAAAGTAGCTATTCAGGTGGTCTTCCGGGTCGGCCACCCCATCATAACTTGGCAACGGGGGGATCGTAGTTCCCGCTGGCTCCATTAGGATGCGCCGCGCCAGAGGCTGCCGAACACCAAACCTTCGAGCAATCCTCCTAGGCGCCCATACGTCCTCTGGGCCTGTTTGCGCCCGCTCGATATTTAGCCTCCCCTCTCGTGGACGCCCATACGCGTCATGCCCCAGCTCGGAGGCATACGGCGGTCCGTATTGCAGAGACTCCGAATCTTCCCCCATTCTTTCCCGCTTTCTCGCCCCTGGGCTGTGCATCATCACATCTTCACTTCGTTCCCCTTCCAACTCCCTCTTGAGCGCCGCTATGGCCCGATCCTGGTCGGCTATGATTCGAAACAACTCCCTTTTCGTCAAAGACTCGCCATCCTCGGCGGACAGGCGCCCAGGGCTTCCTTGTCCCTCCCCATTCATGCTCCTCTCTTGACTCAATTGACGCCCGCCTCCTTCGTGATCCGAGTTCCCCGACCTGGAATTGCCTTCTCCATCGTTCCCTTCGTTCATGTTTTCCATGCGCCTACCGTTTTCGTGCGCCTCCGCCCCTTCCTGGCGCGCCAATTGTTTGTGCCTAGATACCCCCGAACACTGATCCTTCGCCTTTCCACTCTTCCACCACCCGGGCGCCTGGAACCTACACCCACAAACGCCTAAGGGCCCTGGTCGGCCCGTTAGCACTCCGAAGCTCAAGTCAGTGCACCTTTCTAGAGAGATCCGTATTTGGAAGTGGTTTAGTGAGAGAAACCAACCTGCGTAAATGCTATCGTCTGCCCCTATTTATACTCACCGAACCCGAGGTTGATTTCCGCCACGTCACCTTCCTCATTCAATGCTCTGCGCCCCCAGACAGCTAACCGCCCTGTCAGACTCCTGACATCTGACTGGCATTCCACAGCTCTGCCAAGCTCCTGACACACGACAGGCGCCCGCAGGCCATGGTCCACCATCCAGTTGGTCGCCACCTGGCTTTTGGTGCTCTGCGTGACAGCTAACCGACCTGTCAGACTCCTGACACCTGACAGGCGCCCCAGGCCGTGGTCCACCAGCCGGTTGGCCGCCACCTGGCCCCTGGTATTTTACTCTTTTGGGCTTTGTCCCCAAGCTCGCTGGGTAATACCCCCAACAAAAGAACTATTACATTTTCTCGTAATGTAATGTATCGTGTTAAAATCAGGGGAATATTGAAAGAACGAATCAATGATCAAGTCGATATAATTTTATTACAGTTTGCATAAGCGATTTTACAATTGTCCCTTGCACTGTCAGATCTCACTGATTACACAAACATTGGTAAAACCCTTAACAGAAAAAAAAAATGAGACATTTAATTGACAAAGAGAAAAATACACGATGTGCTCAACTTGTCCTCAAATCAAAATCCCTATAATATTGACTGAAAAGAAAGAATACTATGTAAAAGCCCTTCTTGGGGTGAGGCTGGGGTATGCCTTTTCTTGCGTTAATAGGAAACAAAAATGAATGGTACAGTGCCTAAATTCTGCGTCAAGAAACAGAATAACAAAAAGAAAATCAATCCTGGATTCAAGTCCAAATAGATTCTAGCCAGTCCGACGTCATTTCATAAGCCACAAATGTTACAGCACCGGCAGGAGCAGCCTTGACGGTCGAGGGGACGATCCCCTTGTACAGACCAGCCCAGCCTTCTGCCAGCACGATCTGGCGCAGGGCATCAAACATGTTTTTGTACGAACTGTGCTCGACTCTGGCACCATATTTCGGGTGCCTCTGAAGTCCTTCGATCTGGAAGATGATAAAAGGAGGAGAAGTCGTATACGATGACGTTCCATACAGCCATAAAGAGAATCGAGAAGAATGATTTCATACCTGGAATCTTTTCTTGACAACATCAAGAGGATGGCAGACAAGTTTAGCGCACGTCCCAGCAGCAATGCCGCAAATAAAAAGTTGGAAGCTAGAGAGGTTATCATTGTCTGTAGTTGTCATGCTGCCGGCTCTAGAATGATTCCAAGTCTGCGATAAAATTACGGTTTAGTGACCTAGTTATTCAAAGAGTTATATGTCCACTAGGCCCCTCTGCTATTTATGCAAACTGGGGCAATCTAATGGTGAACTATAGTAGATACAATAGTTCAGGGTCAAAGTTCACATATAACAATGAAAGTCTTTGAATCAGTTCCTAACAAAACTCAACCAGCAGCAGAACAAGTAAAAGACATACCATGGCCCAGCGCTTGAATGTATCATATGTACCAAACTGGAGACCTGCATAAGGGACAATCTCGACCAGTGTTGGGGATAATCCTGCATATAAGCCTTTAAAACCACGAGCTTTGACAATGTCGACAAATGCAGATCTCATCGTTGGATACACCTACATAAAAAGGATGTACAAGTCAAAATGACGGACAAATATGACTGCATGAAGTTTAGGAGTTGTGAGAATGATCGGCATCAGGTAACGAAGCATGCAGATAGCAACGAATAAGTGTGTGGCATTTAGCGTACCTTGGGCTCTCCCTGAGAAGCTAATATGGTGCGAAGAAGATCAAATGGATATGATCCCACAGTAGCTGCGCATCCTGCCAAAGCGCCACTTACATAGGACAAATATGGGCTCAAATGAATGTGATCGGCTGCATTAGATGATTACATCAAAGTCAATAAGAGACAATTATTGATTCAAATGAATGTGTCAAGAGAATCAAACGCTATGAGTGGGATATTCCATCAAGCTCAGGAGAACTACCCAGCTCCTAGCTAGTAGGTTTCAGACTTCCAGTTCAGACAACATCAGGTAACATATGCAGTCAAATCGTAGAACCTCCTATAATTGAATGCTGAATCACCAACCAAATACTAACTGATTGGCAACTTATCCATATTCAATGAAAGCTAAGAGGCAACCCAGATACCAATTGACGCACCTGTCTTGGAAGAACCAGCTGCAAATGATTTTATCTTGTGTAGCACAGCAAATTGTATGGCAGTGTACGGCATAACCATGAGCAGAGCTGGAACATTACCACGCCAAAAACCCTACGGAAGAGAATAACACCAGTATTGTATTAGAGGTAGCATGGTCGAACCACGCAATTTATATAATCAGCTTGAGCAATTATTTAGGGTTTTCGAGCCCTAACTGATCCGGAATAGCTTAAGAAGTATCCATTCTCAGTGCATGACCCCTTTACAAGTTCAAAGTATTTCTAAATAGGTTTAGCAACTAACCAAAATAGTAGAGTTGCATCAGTAACTAATTACCCTCACTTCTTTCACTCTTCAAGCAACAATGAATGCCAAACTACAAAATAAACGAGAATAGAAGAAGTGATATACCGCTAAGCCTTCTTCTCTGAATATATCCTTGCTTGCTTGCAGCATTCCTGTATACTTGGATGGAGCAGCAAGATTTCTATTGAGCAAGGCCCATGATGTCGTTGGCTCAAGTTGAACCTGCAAACCATGAACACAAATTCAGAATGATCCCCGACTGGACTCTGCCCCTTCAGGTGCCTAATCCCACTGACTTGATAACGAACACCAAGGCAGCCACCATGAATGAAGGCTGCTAAGAAGCTCTGGAACTCATTCTAAGACCCAATACGCTTCAATATGCACTAAACATTTTAAAAATCGAGACTTTAAGGCCACTACGTGATCAAAAAGCAATCATCCCATTAACCAAATCCCTCACCGCCATTCATAAGCAGCCAAAACCTAGATTTCCCTGGCCAATCAAATCAAAATCAAAGCACTCCCTACTCCAATACAACCCAAGGCATCCCAGAAAAAGGAAACGAACCTGGAATCTGATTTTGATGACATCAAGAGGCGAAGTAACCGTACGAGATATCCCGCCGGCGATCGCCCCCGCACTAGCGTCCAACAAGGCCCGTTTTAGCGGCTGCTCCTCCATTACCGGAGAGAGAAGCTGAAGAAACTCTCCCTCCCAACCGCTTCGGTTTCTCCTCTCCCCTTCCCCCCTTTCTCGCCTCACTCAGCAGCTCCCGGCCATAGAAACGAGCGCCGGCGAGGGCAAGACGGGAGAGCTAGAAGCAGCGAGGCGGAAGAAGGAACGGGCGGCGGCGGTGGAGGAGGAGAGAAATACTTTTTGGCGCGTTGGGCAGAAAAATAAGCGTTTCGTAAGCTTTTTATGTTATGACCTACGAAAAGCGAGAATGGGAATCTGCCGACGTTAGCTGCTTGCTTTTGGGTAATTTTGATTAATCGCCGGCCGGGGAGGATTCTTTAATCCCTTCCCTGCTTCGATTTGCCGCCTTAATCCACAATTGGATTGGATTTTTTGCGCCTAATTAGCTGGCAACAGGGATGGGATTTTTTTTTCTTTCCGTTTTCTTTGTTCGAGGGGAAGAAGGAAGGAAACGGCAGGCTTGGATGACGGCGAGAGAACTTCTTTTTGGGGGAAAGAAAGACGGGGGAGACGGGCGATCGGCGTCAGTTGACGGCGTGAATCTCGGTGGCGGGCCGGGAGATTCCGTTTAATATCGTCCGTGGAATGTGCTGGTAGTTGCTGACTTGCCTTTTGTGGGTCAATTGCAGGTGCAGTCACTATACTTTGGGATACTAGCAAAATAGTCAGCATAATTTTGCTTTTGTAATGGACTTGTAACTAATGTTTGACATGACTCGTATTATGAATTTACAATCAAACACCTCTATAAATTTGGCTGTCGTAAATTTAAAAAAAAAATTTAACATAAAACATAAGAGAAAAGTTGTTTTAAAAATATAATAATATGATCCTTAGATAACTACTTCGGTGCACCCACAAAAACGAGTGTATACAATGCACCCAACTCTAATAGTAACTTGAAGACATCGAATTTTGGATTTTTTGGTAGTATTAGTCTAATATGTTGATACGACATTTGATCACAACCAATCAATCCATTGTCCTAACCCCTAAACCTTCAATTTTGAACACAAATCCAAAATCTCAACTTATAAATCCTAACCCGAACCCTAAATCTCTAAATCCTCGATCCTTCAAATTGAAGTACATCTTGAATGAATTTTGTTTTGTTGTTGTAAATTCATGTGTTTCTTCTTGTTGATCATATCACAAGTGATGGCAGATACCATTTTGACATGAATCGCATGCTCGAAATTGCAAATATGAGACGAGTGCATTGAATGCACCCAAGAAATTGAGTGCACCGAAGACAAGACCATGATCCTTAATATTTTTTATAATTCATAATTTTATCCCATTTCTATTAAAAAAATTTATAACAGAATTAATTTTTTTACTATATTTATTCACATGAGTAAACTTTTAGTCATTTTACATTATCTTCGAAATATTTTTAAAAAATATTTCTAATAATTTATCAACCAAACACACAACTCCTTGTTTTAAGTATGTCTATAAGAACTCTAGTGAGAAGTTGATTTGCTAAAACTACAACATGGCCAAAATGAACATTAGTCCATTTTGATCAATTTATCATCAAAATTGTTTGCATTATCGTGTCAACTAGACATAATTGTCCACTATCCAGTACAACATAATTCCATCTTGAAATTTTTGTAAACATAATTCTTTATTGGTTTCATATTGCAATCCTACCAAACTTATGATATTGCATGTTTGGAAATACATTGTTACTTAGAGTTGTGAAGTAACAACTGTTTATTCTAAGTGTGCAAATTAGTTAGAGGTGGTAATGGGATCGGATTCGTGGATTAGATTGGTGGATCCATGGATTAAATGGATTGGATCCAATGGATTGGTGGATTCATGGATTGGATCAAATGGATTGGTGGATTGATCCATGAATCCAAATGACATCCAAGGCTTGGACTAAAATGTAACTTTTGAAAAGTTTAGGTACTAAAATGTCATAGTGAAAAAATTTAGGTACCAAAATGTAATTTCCAATGTTTTTTCGTATAAAAATTAAAAAATTTAGGTACCAAAATATAAAATATAAAAAATATAGGTACCTAATCGTAATTTGCCATTTGGATCCATGAATCCACCAATCCAATTGGATTTGGATCAAATGAATTGGATTTAAATTGATTGGATTAAGTGGATAATTTGGTGGATGGATTGGATTAGATTCATGAATTTGTATCCTAATTGCCACCTCTAAAATTAGTGCAACCACCATTCATTGCTATACTTAAGTAAATGAGGTTGAACCTGCAGAACTTGATTTGCCACTTTAATAAAATTTGTAGATATATCTTTCTAGACATCCATTTTACCAATCAAGTTTATAGAAAATATAAGAAGAGACAACCAGACTACTCTACAAACTGTTGGATTGCTACTTACATATTTTTAACTCAAATAACATAAACCATCACACATATTACATATCAAACGTTGTAATTTACAATGCATTGAATTTGACAATACATTAATAATTTTATACATGTATTTACAACGATATATATCTATTTAACAATCGTAACTTTCAAACTACGAAGAACCGCCGTTACATTCTCCAATTTTGTAGTTTTCCGGCTGGACCAATTAAGAATCAAAAAAAAATTCCAATTTCCTCCATCGCGATCAAAGAACACGCCCTGCCCCAGTCGGAAAATTCTTAGCTCCAACTTTGGTTGGACGCAGAAGCTCCAACCAACTAAGGTGTCAGTTTGTTATTGGTGGATTCAACTTCCTTTTTTCTTAATATTTAATTGTGCTAAGTAAATCAAGAATAAAAAAATTAAAGAAATGATGAAATCACCACTAGAATACTAACACGTGGCTGGTTGGACCTTCTGCGTCCAACCAAGATTGGAGCTAAGAATTTTCCGCCCCAGTCCCCGCAATTTCCACACCATTCATTGACTTCTCTACTTCCTCTCCCTCCATTATTTTCCATCATCACTTGGCCCATAAAATTCCACCCATTATTGCCTTCACAAATCTCTTCAGTTCATCCCCACTTTCCCTCTACACACTCTCGTTGTCAAATAATGGAGCAGATCAACTTCTCGTACAAGTTCGGGGAGAAACAGGGGGCCGCCGTTGAGGAATTGGAGGCTGCTAAGTCCGATAAGCCGGTCACCGCTTACCCGCCGGCTGATTTAGGCTACGTCTATCCTCCACCGGCGCCGCAGCACCAGTATTTCGGTCACCCTCCGGCAGCGCCAGCTGGATACGGGTACTACCCGCCGCCACCTCCAGGTAAAATTGCTATCCATTTTTAGTGATCTAGAAGCGTAAATATGCAAATTTGTAATTTTTGAAGCGTAGATTTTGAATATATTTGTAAATGAAAAGCACAATTCAGACATAAAAATGTTTTGATGACTTGAAAATGTGAGAACGTAAACTTTTAATTTTTAAAGCGTGATTTTAACTACATTACAGATAGTTACGTTATGTGTACCCGCCTGGGTACGGTTAGCCACCGGTTCAGCCAGCCGGCGGGTATGTTTACCTGCCGGTGGTTGTGCCGCAGCCGCCGCAACAACAGGAGAAGAACAAGTTTTGGAGGGCAATCACGGGGTTAGAAGCGGGATTGCTGGGAGGAACTATTGGCGCGCTTTTGATCGGAGATAGGGCGTCCGACGTGGGGGCTTATGATGTTGGGTACGGTGCCGGCCGGTTCGCCGATGCCGGAGGATTTGGGTTCTAGAATATTTGGTTTTCTTATATGTTAGGTAAACTTGTTGTTGGTTATCCAAGGTTGGTGAATGTCTCCGGCGTACTTACATTAGAGAAATGTGCATGTTGCTTAAATGGTGTCAGTAGTTGAGAGTCGAAGTGATTTGGCCTTTCATCACGTCCATTATCTTGCTGATGGCCTTGCATCAATCGCGTGCCATTACCTATTACGGAATAAACTTAAAATTTGGTGAAATGAAATAAATCTATGCAAGTAATTTGGTTGTGTATCCACATTGAAGTTTGAACCCAATTGTATATGTTCTGTGATTAAACACGCTAATTTCAATACTTACGATAATCAGTACTTGTTGCGGTTACTTAAACCGTGTTCGTATTGGGTCTTGTTGGGCTCGTCTTAATCGTTGGATTAGAGTTTTAACCCTAAGTCTTTCTCTATGTAAGTTTAGCTACGAGATTGTCGTATGCAAGTCGTCAAGATGTAATCCTAATAAGAGATCAGCCGTGAGCTCTTATGAGCTCACCGTGGATTAGTCTCGATCAATCAATCGATCGAGGATACCACGTAAAATCTTGTGTTTTGTGTTCTTTCGTATTTTCGCATCATCAAATTCTACAGTACTCCTCGAGTATTATAATTAACTCTTAAGACTAAATTCTTACTCATTTCCCCACACTTTTATATAAAATAAAAAATCAACCAATGCTGGATATGGACAGATTAAATTAAGGAGATGGAGGCCTTCTGCCAAACCCTGAAATTGTAGCCCGGCCCGCTGACAGATTCACTCCAATTCTCAGCCAAAATAAGCCGAAGCCCATTACATTACGGCCCAATAGTAACAGATTGTGCTTAAACCCTAATCATTTGCCCCCAATTTCCCCCAAATCAGAACCCTTCGTCTTCCTCCTCCTACACAGAAGAAATCCCCCTTTCCCTAGGGTTCCAGCTCTCCTCCCGAATCCGAATCCCAAAAACAAGATGAGGCCGCTCGACGAGGCGGAGACGACGGTCGTCTTCGAGAAGCTCCTGAAGTTCACCGGCAACAACCTGAAGAACATCGTCGAGAGCCCCGCCCACGAAGGTCCCGACCCGAACCCCGGCCGCTACTGCTTCCGCCTCCAGAAGAACCGGGTCTACTACGTCAGCGAGGCCCTGGTGAAGCGCGCCACCAACATCAGCCGGAAGAACCTCGTCGCCATGGGCACCTGCGTCGGCCGGTTCACCCACGGCGGCAAGTTCCACCTCACCGTCCAGTGCCTGGGCCTGCTGGCGGCGAACGCCAAGCACAAGGTGTGGCTGAAGCCGACGTCGGAGATGTCGTTCCTGTACGGCAACCACGTGCTGAAGGGCGGCCTCGGGAGGATCACCGACGGCATCCAGCCGGGCGACGGCGTGGTGGTGTTCTCGATGTCCGACGTGCCGCTGGGGTTCGGGAACGCGGCGAAGTCGACGCAGGACTGCCGGAAGCTCGACCCGAATGGGATCGTCGTTCATCACCAGTCGGATATCGGGGAGTATCTGAGGATGGAGGACGACCTTTGAAGGAAAAGGTAAAACGGGGAAAGGAAATTGGAAAAAGACCCAATTGATGTAATGAGATATTTATAATGAATGTAGTAACCTTTCACATTTATGTATTCATCAAGTTTTGGAATTTGGGTGCTTTCTTCTTCTTCTTCTTGCAACCAATTTTGCACCGTCTTTGTTCAATGTTGTTGATTCAGCTTCGTTGTATGTTCTGTTTTTACAAGGTAACGGAAGGATGAAATGAAATATAGGCAATGTAGCTTAAAGAAACGATCTTTGTATCACGACTCTGTTGTTGCCTGAAGTACAGGGTTTTTGCTCATTCCAGAAAAGGGCATGTCGAATGAGCTTGATAGGAGTATAGAACTATAGATGCCCTACATAGTTAGTCCTGATAGGAACCACAACTAGAGAAGTTGGCAAGTTCTGATAGAAAACCACTATTCTCGGAGGGAAGTATCTGAATTCTGACCGCTACTGCTTCCTCCTCCAGAAGAACACATTCTAGTACAACATCAGCGAGGCCCTGGTTAAGTGCGCCACCAACTTCAGCCGGAAGAATCTTGTCTCGATGGGGAACTGCATCAGCTGGTCACAGTTACATCGGAGATGTCGTTCCTGTATGAAGTTCAACCAAGACATGCAGCCGGAGGATGCAGCAATGCCAGAAGCTGGACTTGAATGGGATTGTTCTTCATCACCAATCGTATATGCGAGAGTATCTGACGATGGAGGGCGACGACATTGGGAGCAGAGGTACAGTAACGAGACACTTGGATGAATTCGGCCATGGAGAAGGAGCCTCTGTATCTGGATGAATTCGGCCATGGAGAAGGAGCCTCTGTATCTTACCATTAACATCAATAGTCATCAAGTTAAGTACTTTTTGGTGCTTCTTCTTCAAGCTCGCAATTTTACTGTGTTTGTTCCATGTTTGTTTCTCACATTCATTGAGTGTTTACTGAATTAGGTTTGCATTATGGTTCAACAGTTATTGAATAATCTATGCAACAAAGGAAGAGAAGAACAAAATGATTGGGATCGGTGTTTAGACCATGGAAGCTGTAGAAATAGCTGGAACTTGGACCTAAGTATAGAAATGAAGTGGAAAAAAAAAAATTGCGCATCCGGGGAATCGAACCCCGGTCAGTACCGTGGGAGGGTACTATGATACCACTACACTAGATGCGCTTTTGCTTGTTACAATTCCCAAATTATCATTATTTATCCCTTAAAAAAGTTTGGGTCACGTTCAACTCTGCAGCTCTTATGGTTCGAACATAGAATGATGTAGTGCTTGTATATGTTGGATTACACCTACCAGACATACCTGATTCACTACTCTGAAATGGCTCTTCAAACTGTGCAGAGCAGGAGAAGAGGACATTGATGAGGTTGTTCAAGGTACTAGCTAGCTCATTATGCGACAGACAGTGCATCTTATTCAAGCATCTATGAAGTTTACTCTTGCGATCTGCTGCTCCATCAAATGGATTCTTCTTAACTTGATACTTGGCATAAGATAAAACGCAGGATGCGGTGCTGCTGATTTACATGGTTGTTTATTTCCTCCACTATTGTTACCTAATAGTTGAGAACGCGAGTAAATGTTGCCGATGATCAATAATTAGCGAAGATCTCTGGGTTTTGCAGAGAACACTATCTAGGCTGCTGCAATCTGATGTTCACTGGAGTAAGTTGTCATCGAAGAGCTATCGAGAAATACTAGAACCCCCTATAATAATTATCAAAAGAGCCCAATTTCAGTCTTCTCCAGTTGCATGAGACAATGCTGTTGGAATATTGGTTGAGTTTCTGACTGTTCTAATGCCTCCCTCTCACTTTGACTACGGCGAAGTGGAGCCAATTTATACCACATCGTTTAAACCAACTTCTGAAAGCGTATGGCTTGGAATAAGAAGGAAGTTCTGTACCCCGTTCAAATCATACCTTTCTCGGCCTTTTGGCTAAGATCAAGTGTAGTATCTGTTCTTATCAGTTTAATATCTGATACGTGGGCCAATGGCCCACACGATATTAAATTAATTTTTTTAGGGGGAGAAGGCCCACTACTGAAGCTTGCTTCAGGGGCCTTCTCGCGTGTCGCCCATGCGTTGCACTATTGCACGGGCCTGGCGCACCCCACCAATCCTAGTTCAATCCTTTTTTTCTTTGTTTAGGGCCCATTGGGCCTTAGCTGAATGATAATCCTTTTATTCCTCGTTTTGAGCCCATTTGGCCTAGTTGAATTTGGACGACTTGGTTGATATCTGCTGACTGCTGCTGTATTGGTTGTTGATGTTCTCTTGGAACTTTGCAGCATAACTCTCACAGGTGAAAAAAAATCTGTTGCTGAACTTCAATGCACGATATATAGCATGGGTTGAGAGTTGGGATGTGAAACCAGAAGATACTTAATTAAAGGCAAAATACACTTCTATATCCATAACTTTCACGATTGTGACAAATATATCCATAACTATCGAAATACACGAAATACCCAGAAAAGCGTACTATCGTGTGACAAATCTATCCATTTCGTTAAAAACTTTAACACCGTTTGTTACGGCGTCAGTATATGTGACAAAACGCTGACTAGGACCATACCCATCTCACACCTAAGCTCCACGTCAGCATAATTTGAGCCATGTCAGCAAAAAATAAAAAATAAAAATAAAAAATAAAAAATAAAATTAATTCTCTCTGCCCCAATGATTTCTTCTCTCCCGTAGCTCCCGCCTCCATAGCTCGCCGAATACTCCTCCTAAACCAAATAATCAGACCCCCCATTACTCCTCTTAAACCTAATAGCTTATGAGATTTCCCGTCGCAAACCGAATCCTTCTCCCTGCTGCCCATACCCAACCTCGAAGAGTAGCATTCAACATCAAACAAAAGGAGGAAAGGTGGAAATCGGGTTCTGGGGATTTGAGAAGAACTTGGTTCTTCCCCTGCCAACTGCTACCACTGAGAAGAAAGCTTATTAGGCAAAAGAGATCTGGATCCGCCTCCGATCTTCCTCCCCAGTGGAAGATCTGGATCCCCTGTTTTGGTCGACGAGATAAACAGAGGGTTTCTATCCACTCCGCCACTTCCTTTCCCCTTCAACTGCTGGATAAATCGAGAAGCCATGGGTTGAGAAGATGAAGAGAAGATTGACGTGGAATTGGAATTCCAAGGGTTCGTGGCCAACAGCTTGGCGGATCTGGATCTGCACCACCTCCTCGGCCAGAGCGTCGGGATCGACAAGGTGTTGTCGACAAGTTGGAAGAGTCGCAGTTGCAGGCGCAGCCGCTAGCCATGTTCGTCGGCAGGGATGGGAGAAAAGGACCCGAGTCGATGAAAATAAAAAAGTGGCCACCGAGTTTTGGAGAAATCGGAGAAGGGAAACCCTAGGCGGAGAAATCGAAGAGGTAGAGAAGATCATTTTTATTTTTTTATTTTAGGCGTTTTTTCTGGGTTTAAGTCCCGTATATTTCTCTTTCTGTTTTTGTTTTGTATTTTAATTTTTGCTATTTTTTTTCTTTATAATACACGTCATTTGGTGGGGTAAATCAATCGCCAACTCAGCTTCTACCGTTAGTTTAGTTATGCCGTCAAATGACGCCGTTAACAAAATGGACGGAATTGGGTATTTCGTGTATTTCGATAGTTATGGATATATTTGTCACAAACGTGAAAGTTATGGATATACAAGTATATTTTGCCTTAATTAAACTACGTTGAACATTCGTCATGTTCCAGGAAACCTAAGATCCATTTTCACTTTTGTTTTGGGCCTCCTTGGCGTAGTTGAATTCTAGAATTTAATTTATTTGTGTTGTATATACAACATAGAGACGAATAATCTTTTATCGAATTGTTGTTGGTTCTCTTTTTGAGATTGTCTTTGTTATTAGATGAGATCATTCCATTGGGCCACCAAATGAAAACCGAATCATGTTCCTCTGAGCTCAAAACTCTCATTCGGGGTATATGAGGAGAACAAATTGCTCATTATGAATTGTAACATTTCATCAAAAGCGTTCCCTTCAATTGTTTGAGAAAAAGAGATAACTTCTCCCAAAATTTGAACTAGTTCCAATATTTTCGTATCCAACGTGGGCCATGTTGGTTTTGATAATAATACGAATTCGTCAATGTATGCTACGAAGGATATAATTGAGAACCTCGAACTTCAAAACGACTCATTTTTATGCATGTTCTGCTGCCTAATATGGAGCTAAGATAACTCCTGACTTCCACTTTATAAAGGTTAATAATGTTGTATTATACATGCCTAATCTGCAATATATGTCAAGCTTATGAAATTGGCTTCGTTAGTCGATCGAGTCTCTGTAGTAGATTTGTAGATTGGACTCTCTAGACCCCTCCTGCAACTCTCGAAATGCACCAATCAAGACCTCGTTCGAGAATTATAGCTCGTTTCAAAGCCTGCGTTTTGGGTTTTGTTTCGAATGATTCTTTTTAACTTCTACCCTACTTGCACTACTTTGAAGAGACCACTTTGTTACCACATCGTTTAATCAAACCTGTTAACAGAAAGAACATGGAAATAAAATGAGAACTCTGGTGCAAAACATAGTGTTCTTAAATCTTTGGACAATCCAACCTCTTCGTAACTTTATGGTTGCCGTCTTTCATCTCCTTGCTTGCCTGGGTTTATATATCATCCAAGCTCGAGCAAGGGGATAGATTCGGTGACCGTAAACTTACTCAGTCTTGTTGGATATGTCGAAGGATCAATCTGCTGAAGGCCCCATCCTCAAAAATATATGAGGTTCAAATATTTTTTCCAGCAAGTTTTGATTGTGCAGTAATTGTACAATAGATTTGAAGTATCTTATATGCTTAAGTAGGGGTGGAAATCGGTACGGTATCGGTATCCCAATACCAAATACCGAAATCCCGAATACCGAATTACACTCTGAAATCAATCCCAATCCCAATCCCTAAATAATTTCGGTATCCCAATCCCAATCCCTAAATATTTCGGTATCCCAATCGGTACCTCGGTATCCCAATCGGTATTATCAAATACAAAATTAATTATCTTTGCTATTAATAATTAAATATATAAATTAGATTTTATTGTTTAATTTAGGGCAAAGAGACTAAACAAAGAGTCTTGAGTTGCCTAGAGCTAACATCTCAAGTTTTTATAATTAGTAATCTTTAATTTGATGAATTTTAGGTTGAGAGACGACTAATACTAGTGTGAAATAGTGATGTAATGATCTATGTATAATTAAATGACACTATTGGTGGTTGAGGGTCGCATAGTAGTGAATGAGAGAGTCTAGTTGAGAGGATAAAATACACATTAGCTTATATTTCGGTATTGATCGGTATTTCGGTATATACCGATCCCAATCCCGTAATCCCTAATACCGAATAACAATTGAAACTCAATCCTAATCCCAATCCCACAAAATAATTCGTGTATTCGGTAATACCAAATATAGACAAATTCGGTACGGTATTCGGTATATACCAAATACCGGTACCAAACTTCCAGCCCTATGCTTAACAATGCTATTCATGTTGTATTATACATGTCTAATCTGACAATTATGTTCAGTTTGTGAAACCGGCTTCAAGCTTCGTTAGCTAATAATCACACTGATCATACCATAGTCAAGTGCAATCAGAATGTTCGAAAACAGAAAGACGGTCTTGAAATGCACGAATCGAGACCTCGCTCTTCGAGGAGAATAGCTCGTTTCAAAGCCTGCCTATTTTGTATCTCATCCAAGCTTGGGCAAGGTGACAAATTCGGATACCAGAAACTTGCTAAGACTTGTTGGGGGAGAGGATCTATCTGCTGAAAATGCCTTTTTTTTTGGCCCCATCCTCTCAATATTTAAGGTTCAAATATTCTTTTTCTGCAAGTCTGAAGCTCTCTATGGAGGAGCAAATCTATGCTATAACTCCTTGGGGATTAGCGTCACTCTAACTACTAAGTACTAACAAACATTAGAACGACAGAGAGGATTCTTCTCCTAACGACTGGAATAAAATGTAACTATTGTACCTTGCTAATTGGTATTTCTTAGTTAGATAGACTTAAATTTAAGATTAATTGGTGAGTTTGTGAATTACACTTATTTTTATCCCGTGTAATTTCAATTTTTTTTTGGGTAAGATATCATGAGTTTGCTGGTAACGTATTTTATCTAAAAAATATTGTTTTATTTGAAAAATAGTATTATACCGATTTTAAACAATTTAACTAGGGGTGGGCAACGGGCGGGTTGGGTGGGTTTTGGTCACAAATTGACCCACCCGTTTACTAGCGGGTTGGAATAAATGTGACCCGCAATCCACCCACATACTTCTGCGGGTTGGGTTGGATGGGTGATGGTTGGGTCGCGGATGAACCCGCAAAACCAATTCTCCATTTAGCCATTAGGAAAGTTGACTAACATTTATAATAATTTCATAGCAAATTAGCAAGATTGTATCAATAATTTGTGATTTTGATACTGTTGGGGTAAGAGGTCAAGTCGTCGCGCGTCAAACGCTCGCTCCCAAAGAAACCTAGACGCGATCACCCCGTCGAGACAAAGACGTCGCTCGACAACACGTCCCATCATGCGTACAGCTCACCTACCTCCACGGAGGTATAAATACCGCATTTACTATGGAGAGAGGGGGATCGACCAAAGGGACAAGACCATTCTCTCTCTAACTTTATCTGTCTACACTCTCTCTGTAATCTATTCACCCCGCTATCTTAATAATACAATCCTTTTGGCGCGTTGCTTACCATTCATCACTCGAACACCCTTACCTATACTCAGTGTCTCTCTCCTACCACATCAGCGAGGCATAAACAGATACAATTAATAATTTATAGTTTGCATCCCAATATTTCATGGTTATTAACAATAATCTGCATACCAATATCCAATATCTAATGGATATTGCACAATACAATAACCAATAATAGTAGTCAAAACTATTATTTATTCTTCACCTTTTGAAGTATATGGTCAGATTGTAGTGCAGTTCGAAAATATGATGAATATTCGAGACGATAAGAAACAACATTTTTTCATGTAAAAATAGGATGCAGGTCGTATGGGTGACCCGCAATCCACCCACCACCCACCCACATCAGTGCGGATGGGAGATTTACCAATCTGCAATCCACCCACATCAATCACCCACTGCGTGCGGGTCGGATTATTTGCGGGTGGATCGATATCAATCCGCGGATTAACCACCCACGTGCCCACCCCTAAATTTAACTACGATCGTACCCCAAAAATATTCTACCATATACTACCGATATGACCTCCAGACTCCAGTACGATTTTTCAAATACATATTTTTTTTTTAATTTAACCGAGATTGAAGGCAAAACTTAAAAAGAATATTCTACCAAAGTTACATAAAATTGCTTTCTTCTGCACATATACCACGAGAAAACAAGACTCTTATGTGACAAGAAGATTAATCAGGCCTTTGTATGTATAATGTATGTACCACTACCAGTAATCTTCTCCAGTTGGCCAAGAGACCATGCTCTTTTTCTGACTACATTATTTCTTTCTCTCTCACTTTGACTATTGTGAAGTGGAGCCAATTTGTACCACATCGTTTAAACGAGCTTGTGAAGAGCAGAGGGCTTGGAATAAGAAGCAAGCTCTAATTACTGTTCAAAGCATACCTTTCTCGGCCTTTTGGCTAAGATCAAGTGTAGTATCTGTTCTTATCAGTTTAATATCTGATACGTGGGTCAATGGCCCACACGATATTAAATTTATTTTTTTAGGGGGAGAAGGCCCACTACTGGAGCTTGCTTCAGGGGCCTTCTTGCGTGTCGCCCATGCGTTCCACTACTGCACGGGTCTGGCGCACCCCAACAATCCTAGTTCAATCCTATTTTTTCTTTGTTTAGGGCAACAATCCTAGTTCAATCCTATTTTTTCTTTGTTTAGGGCCCATTGGGCCTTAGCTGAATGGTAATCCTTTTATTCCTCGTTTTGAGCCCATTTGGCCTAGTTGAATTTGTTCGACTTGGTCGATATCTGGGGACTGGTTACGGTGCTAATTGTACAAGAGTTAGCACCGTCCTAACCAAGGGTTAGTAGTGTGATTTAGCTTAGATGTTGTATACTTGTATTGATTTTATAATAATCCGTAGTGATTTCGTTGTTTTTAGTAGCGTTTTTTGCTAGTTATCACGGTGCTAACCCCTATAAAGGTTAGCACCTAATCCCATCCCTCGATATCTGCTGTTGAAGATTATTACAGACTCGCAGGTGAAGAAATCTGTTGCTGAACTTCAATGCACGATATATATAGCAGGCGTGGAGACTTGGGATGTGAAAAAAATTATGTTAGCAATTAGTAGGATTGTGTGGAAAACGTATGTTAAGGGGAGAAGGAGAGGACCGATTCATACCTGTTTGGAGCATCATTTCCAAGTATTAGTGGCACAATTCTTTTCTTCTTCAGGTGGGATGTTCCATTTTCATTTGCCTGTTGAACTATTTCGAGTAAAAGGGTTTGGTATTTAAGGTGGAAGTTGTAAGGAGAATCTAGCTATAGCCAACTCCTCGTGTATATATGTTGGAAGAGCCAAGCAAAGTAATCAATCGTCGTTGTTATATTCGGTCGGTTTTGAATGACTTTACGTGTTTCAAAATTCAGTATTCTTCTTATATGTTAGTTATATACGTTTCATAGGAGGAGAAGTTGTGTGGGTCATATGCACATATAGTCGTTCTCTTTTTTGTCCATATTATGTTCTTCGCGAGGATTTAAGTTAGTTATATATGCTTGCTTGCCTGTGGGGTCTCCTCTAATCACAAGTAAGTAACATATTCATTGCTCCTCCTCCAAGAAATTATAACAGAATCAAATGTACGTGCTTAATCAACCGTCGTGTGCTAACAATATATATATACACACAAACACACGGGCGGCACCCAATCAACCAATCAATCGTTATTTCAGACAAAGATGACGGGCTAACGATCATGGCCATGGAATGCATCTCACAAGACTGGAACAGAGTGGTGGCGTTCAACTTAGCTCGATTCCTCAAATACCTTCTCATCGACACTCACGACATCCACCAAGCCTTCCAAATTCATTTTGCGAGTAGGAATAACAACCGGGTGATTCATGTAGTGGCTAGGAAGACCCTTTCGTTGTTGCCTTGAGTGTTACTAGTTTTGATTTTAGACAATGGTTATTAATGGTTTGAGTTGTAAACTCTGTGATCTATGGGTTCTTGGTAATACAAGTGACTGAGTGAGCTTTTGACCAAACAAAAAAGGCAACTTTAAAAAGATGAATGAAATGCTATTTTTTGGGTTATCATTACTTTTTCATCAGTCGATTATCGTTACTAAAACAAACCGACTATAATTTTATGAACATTCAGAGGCCACCAGAAAAACACTACTTTCTTCTGCACATACACCACGAGAAAACAACACTACTCCTGTCCTGTGATGTAACAAGAAGACCAATCAGGCCTTAGGAATGTATCTTCAGTCCCAAAATCGACTGCTGTCGAATTGGAACCAGCACATCGACAGGCAACTCGGTTCAAAGGAATGCCCACTCGAGAAGGCTAGTAATCGTCTTCGTCGTCAGCATCAACCCACCAATTCCCCAGCTGATGAGCTACTGAGATGCTATTCTGACTATACTTTGCCGCTTTTTTTCTTCTTCTTCACGTTGGATGTTGTGGAGTGGAGTCAATTTGTACCACATTGTTTTAACCAGCTTGTGTAGAGCACATGGCTTGGAATAAGAAGGAAGCTCTGTTCAATTTGCAAATCATACCTTTCTCGGCCTTTTGGCTAAGATCAAGTGTAGTATCTGTTCTTATCAGTTTAATATCTGATACGTGGGCCAATGGCCCACACGATATTAAATTAATTTTTATAGGGGGAGAAGGCCCACTACTGGAGCTTGCTTCAGGAGCTTTCTTGCGTGTCGCTCATGCGTTGCACTATTGCACGGGCCTGGCGCACCCCACCAATGCGAGTCCAATCCTTGTGATCAAAGCAATTGGGACGATTGCCATTTTGAAGGAAAGCTGAATCTACTGCTTTTGAGATGTTGGAGTGCTTGTTGTCATTCATTTCTCTCAATCAGGCTCCAAGCCAAGTAACTGGTCACTAGTTGCCAAACTAAGTCAACAATGCTGAGTATCTGGTCTGCTAGTTCATCTCTGCTTGCCACTTGGTTATGGTTTTTCCCAGCTTAGAAACCAGCTACAAACTTTAACAGCAACTGGTTTTTGTTTATGTCTGTAGATCAAACTAGGCCGATCACTAGGGGTGTTCAAACGGCGTGGTTACCATGATAGCCGTTTTAACCAGTATTATTTGGATAATTTGGTTTGGTTAATTTGGATAATTGGTTTGGTTTGGTTAAAGTTTTTATCTTGTTTGGTTTAGGTGGTTTGGTTTGGTTTCAGACACTCTTAACTAGCCAAACCAAATTAACTAGATAAATAATTAGTCGTATATCTAATATATACACATACTTAATACTTTGAATAACCACTCAAGTGTTAAACATTCATTCTTTTAGACTCATAAAATATAAAGCTTGATATTGTTCCTATAATGTATATTTGTATATGTAGAGTGTAGACCACAACATATGAACGCCTAATTTAGATAAATCTCATATATTATGTTGGATGAAAACTTAAAAGCAATGTCCTTTTCAGCCTATGAAAATTGCTAAAAGACTAAGTCAATTTAAACAAGCACAACAATTCATTAACCCATACCATTGTGATAAATTTTTGTTAGGTGAATACTTCTATACTAACCGTAAGATAATTGTCTTAGTTGCATGTATTTATGTTAAGGGTCAACTATAACTATGTGTTGATTGTTATGTTTTATTCATTATATAAATTGTGAATTGATAAATTAATCGAAATATTTCTCACTTAATGATAATATGATTTTATATTGGTTAATCTGGTTAACCAATTAACCAAACCGATTAAACTTTAGTTTGGTTAATTTGGTTGTTGTATTAGTTTGGACGGTTTGGTTATGATATTGTATTCCATGGTTAATGAAATTTTGCCTTATTTGATTTGGTAATAACCATGGTAACCATTTGAACACCCCTACCGATCACGATTCGAACACGCTGGGACCGACTTCCTGAGTGTCCTGTAGCATCCTGGAAATGGTGGTTCTGGTTTCAGCATTGCCTTCTGAAAATAACATTTTCTTTGTTGTGTTTGCTTTTGCATCTGATTCATTATATATGGCAGATGGCAAAGGAGACACATGAGGAATCTTATTCTCTTGCATTTATAAAACAATGAATGGATGAATGAGATGAGATGAGAAAATGTGAATGATTTGGATCTAAACAACCATGTCAGAAATCTCTGTACAAATCATCTCTTCCAAACTTCATACAACTTCCCCACATCAAGAAAACCAGAATCATGGCAGCTGCTTCTTTCCATGCTTGCTCCAACAGCTTGCCTGCTAGATCACACCCTCTAGTTTGGGAGATCGATGAGCAGGTCTGCAGGTTGAGACAATCCCAAGCTGCATGCATCCACAGTAGGGCTGGCTATTTGGACCGGGACCGGATGAAAAACCGGAAACCGGACCGTATAACCCGGACAGAGACCGGACCAGGACCGGATAGTAAACAATCCAATCCAATCTTTGGGCTTAGATTTGAGGTAAAAAACCGGATAAAGACCGGATAAGAGAGCTCAACACCCAAAACTTAAGGGTAATTTGCATAAACGGTCACAAACCTTTGCACTTAGTACAAAACTTAACCAACTCCTCACCCTTTTAGGCCTTAGGCCACTCAAATTCCCACAATCTCAATATAAAAACAAGACCGAATTGGGACCGGACCGGGTCAAGACCGGACCGGATCAAGACCGGACTGTATCCAATCCAATCTTCGGTCCTTATATTTTCAAAAAAACCGGATTGGACCGGATCAATTTGGGCCAATTTAACCGGACCGGACCGTATAGCCACCCCTAATCCACAGCATCAAAATGTTATCCAGGATGTGTATGATTTGTGTTTGACCAATTACTCCAACTTCCAATAATCCAAAAAGAGTCTTGATCAAGGACCAAAAGTGCTTCAACGAGCTATTGGATGGATCTTGGGGAAAAATCTAAATTGCGGGGAAAATCTAAATTGCGCATCCGGGGAATCGAACCCCGGTCAGTACCGTGGGAGGGTACTATGATACCACTACACTAGATGCGCTTTTGTTTATTCAATTTATCAAGTATTGTTTAGAAATTAGTAACTGGGGCATCATGAGAATTGAAATGTATGGGCTGGGCTTTAGCCCAACTCAGGTACCCAATCTTTTTGTCCTATCTGACCCAGACCCACTTTGGACCGGAAAAAAAATACGATGAATTGGGCTTGAGAATCAATAATGGAGACCTTTCCTCGATTCTTTCTCATAGGCCATAGCCAAAGGCAAAAGCCAATCAACGTTCAAACAAATACATTACAAAATAAGAATAAATTCGAATTTTAGCACATCAATTTTGAACCTTTTTTTTACAGACTAACCTCTCAAGTCTGAGGTCTTGTTGTACGTTGTAAGCTTTGGATTGGTCTCATCATATAAGTACAATTTTGAGGGTGTCATTATCATGGAATGGAATGCCGTATTCCTAATGTGGGAGCACCTCCCCTAATTTTTTTGATTTCCTTGAGTGAGATAGGGAATAGATCCTCAAAATTATAAGAAACAAACTTTGCATTGCTTTATTCTACATGCATCAATCTTGCCTGCTTAATTGAAAAGAGACCCCTTCATTCGATATCCTTTTTTTTTTTTGAAATTCAAAATTAGACGCATAAATTAGAGAGTACGAAAAAGTTATATGTAAATCTCTTTTTCTCTCACAATTATATAGGAAGGTAACACGTGCATAGCTTTATTGAACTGATTGATGAGTATTTGCTTTCCAATAGATTTCATTGTGTGTTCTTATTCTCTGTTGTTTGGATTATCATTCGTTGTTGTTTGAATATTAATTATTATCAAGAAATGATAGATACGTTGAAGAAAAGTTAGGTATATAAACCTCATCATCAATTTGATAACTAAATTTTTTTGAAAGACATTCCCTTTCTTAAATTACCTTTTAATTTTATTCCTTTGTTCTTTTTACTCCCCAATCTATTCTCTCTCCATCTTCTTTTTTCATAAGTCTATTTTTGTCTGGCTATAAATATATGTATGTCCACCAATTCACCTCTCCAGCATTACCCAATTAGATGGCAAGTTTTGTAATCTTTCTCTAAATAAGATTACTAATATTTTGTGTATTGTGGAGAATAAGTTCATGTATTTAGTGGATGGGAGATAGGGGGCCATTATGTATATGTAATTAATGACAAGAGATATTATACTCCATTATCAATAGAACAATTAATAAGCAAGATAGTGATCACAACCATCATCATTTGATTTGCCATGTAAAGGGGAAAGGAATTGGGTCTTTGATCAATTGTGCTTAGCCTTTTGAAGGAATATTTCTGAGAAATCCAATGGCCCCTTCAAGCTAAATAAATGAAAGTCAGATTCTATGTGCCAATGTTGATTTAATTATTGCGTCTCTCGCCTAACTTATATTGTGCGCATTTGTAATGGAGAACATAAGATCCATTATCGAAACTCTTTATTATTTTAAACTATTGAGATGATGAATTGGTTTTTGACATATTTTACAAAAATCAAAGGGTTCTTGACATGTTATTAGAGACTCTGATTACGGACCCTATCAACCCCAATACTAATTGTTAATTATTTTATCCACAATATATGAAGGATCTTGAGCAAATTTCTAATTTATTTGATGAAAGTGTACAAAATAAGACATTATGGAGAAAAAACAAGCATATTGTTCCTATAAACATTCCTTGGAGTTATATATGCAAATTCTAGTTGAGTGAGCACCAAGTTTTTTAGCCCTAGCTAGGCGACCCTAATAAAAAACCCAAGCATGAAGAAGAATATCCTCTTGTTTTGAATGAGTTCTATTCCCATTAGGACTAAAGTAGTGTTTAGTGTATAATATAATATATGTACAAACCCATTTGGAAAACAAATTATTTCACGTTTTGTTGCGATGAAATTCCCCACTAATTATCATAAGATACATTTAATAAGGAATCTTTTAGAAGAACTAAGCCTCCTAATATAATCAAGAAAGTTATAACTTTGATCTTTCTCCTAAGAATGAGAACAAACCTCCTCTTTTTCACACATAGAATTAGCGATGACAACTATCCCCGCATATGCAACTTACCCGACCCTACTCAATTAATATAATATCAAAAAGACAAATTGAAAATGATGAGTTTAGCTGATGAAATTAAAAAAAAAACCCTCATGATAGGAACAAAATAATATGTTCTAGATACATATTTAATTTACTAAGCACAAAGTCCAAGTGGTTAAGATTGAAGAGAAAACTGGTGTCTATGTCATTCCTATAGATAAAATGACTAGAATACTGATCGACCTAATGAATGAACTAATTGATTAATTGTTCATATAATTGGATTGATGGATTATATATAATCGACTCAGTACTACAACCTAAAAAACAATATGATAATACCAATATATCTATGTGGTGCAATCCATCCACCTTTGATAGAGGGCTAACAACTAGCTAGGGATTTTTGGGAGATGGATCGGATATAATAGTTTTCATAAGAATAAATCCCAATAAGTATATTTTCTTTTTTGCTTCCTTGTAAGAAAGCTTTTTCCCCTTTTCCATGCCCCCAAAATTTTCTACGTTAAGGGAAACAAACGCATAGTAGACATGTGGAGGAAGCATTGGATGATTCTGTATCGTTAGTTTTTCTAGGAATCGATGAGGGAAACAAAGGAGAAAGAGACGGTAAGAAAAGAGAATTGCAAATTCCATGCATTGTTGTGATTTTGTGATTGTGGCTTGTTGTATACAAAGACTTGGACGAATTTGTATAGAATTGCCAAAAAGATGATGGGGATTTGGAGCAACTTTACAGTTGGGTTCACCAGCTGGAAGAGAGGAGAACTTTTTACTATTGATTGGTGGGTTAATTAATCACGTATGGAATAATATTATGTACCTTAATTTGGTTCTTCCATCTTTGGGATAAGATTTACATTAGGGCAAGATTGGAGTATATGGTATAAAATCTTAGTCTTATATTATTAACTACGTGTCAAATTTTAGTTATATCTGGCATGTTATTGAGAATTTAGTAATGAATGTGACAATTTTGGAACCTTAATTTGTGCTAGATATCTGCTTCGCGTTTTGCGGCGGGTAAACTACGGCTCAAGTTGGGGTGCATAACTTTAATGTGCTTAACATGAGTAATCACATCTGGACCCTTTATTTTAAGTGGCTGTAGATCTAAGGGATGTGAATTAAAGGCATTTTATTTCCCATATTTTTCTTAATCGGATCATATCTTCTTCATTCTAACTCGGATTTTTTTCCACAGATGGAACGAGTTATTTGTGTTCTACAAAATGAGATACATTTTCAATATTTTTTGAGAAAAAAATTGCATACCTCTCGTTACCAACTCCATAACATATGGTATCTCCTTTGTTTTAAAGTTGTTTTCAGAAATTTTTGCACAGAAGGAACGATTTAATCATTGATCTATCGGATCCAAACATTTCTGAGTGAAAAATTTGCATACCTCTCGTTACCAACTTTATACTATACTATACTAATCAAGACCATATGGTATAGACTGGTAAAAAAATAGTTCAATTTTTTTTGTTCCAAATATATAACAAAGTGAATATCATTTTGAAGAATACAATTAATCTGATCTAACTATGCAAAAAAATAATAATAATTAATTTCCGACTTAAAACGAGCGAGAAATCGTCCGTTAAAGATTAAGAGAGAAAAATTAAAGACTTTCCAGGAAAGAAAATGGGCATTGATATGACGGATTGTAATTGAATTATGCATAGTTATGCACCACAACATCATGCATGGGATTCGTTCCCGATAAACTACTTTCATATGTTACAATAGTGACAAAAAGGAGAGCCAATTATTATGGAAGTTTTTCATTCATGTTTGCAACATCATATTATGTTGTATTTACCATTTTCATAAATTTCTCTTATAGTGTGAGAAATACTAATTATTGTCTAACTAATTATTTTCTAATTACTTCTTTGAAAATGTAAACTTTTTTTTTGTGTGTGGAAAATCCCTTCTCACATTTGGCAAAAGTTTGCAAATTATTGGAAGAAAACAATAGAATCTCTCGGATATTGCAATTGTCAACACAGTTAGGCTGCTGCATGGGTAGGAAAAGCCCCTTTCTTTGGCTTTGGCCAATAACTTGGCAAACAAAACATGCTACCTAGCTATAGCTTCTTCAATTTCCAACAAACCAGAAAATTTCGTACTTATAAGATTCCCTTTGCAAACCCTTATTGTTTTTTTTAACTTGTGTCATGTTTGTGTTTCTTCGCCACGCCTACTCCTACGGCTCGTAGTCTCCCCTTTTCCCCCACATTTTTACGGCCTTTCTCATTATGGTTGTCAAACCAGCGGCTACAATTGGGTTCAACCGGTATTGAATAAAAATCAGCTGGAATTTCACTGGAATGAAGCGGTAGTCATATCCAGTAAAAAGCACGGTGAATATTGCTCAATTTGTTTGTAATTTAATATTTTATTTAAACATGAATGAAGATTATAGGTAGATTGTCGTAAGATAGATTATACAAATGCACAATTCATTTGATGTAATCGTTTTTCATTTTCTCATATGTTTTGTCAAAACCGGCATAGAAACTAATTGTGCCCCGATCGGAGCATACCACTTGCTAAACCGATTTAAAAACCATATTCCTAACTCCACAGAACTTCATGTTCCCATGTGTTTCTATTCCACGCAGGATTCATTAGGGTAATTAAGATCATGCCTTGTTAACCGCACTTAGTTTCGTCTAGACATCAAATTTATTGATTTGATTGTGTTCTCGAACTGTCAAGTCATTATCAAGGCCCTCCTATGCCGAAATTCGATACGACCGGATAAGCGATGGGTTGGATTTATTGTTGCATTTTGAGTATGTGATATTTGAGTCTTCAAAATATATTACCATACTGTCTGTTTTTTATACATTAATGAAAGAAAATTGCAATATCAAACTTGTCAACCAGTTGATTCATTAACACAAACCCATCACATTCAAAAGGGTGAAAACAAGATATATCTCGAGTTTTGGTTTCGAAAAAAGAGTGCGTAACAACCTTTTATATCTAAAACTTGTTATCAGAGTAACAAATTGTACTGCGGTTAAAGAATCAAGTAGTTCAAATAACTCAATTTATCGAGAGAAATTCAAGAAACTGGTGTACTCTCTCCCCTTCTAGTTCTTTAAGCTAGTTTACAAACTTTGAAGCCTTCCCCACCATATTATACCATACACAAATAGAACCATACTTTTCCATGAACATGTCGTTTTCAAATGAGCTCCCACACACACATCCATCCTTCTTTCTCTTAGCTAGAATATGTACGTCCCAATCTCATTTTCCTATCTCTTTCCTTCAAAACAAAAACAAAGATTCCTTACGGTGGGAGGCAGCTTGAGGGAGGCTTCTCTAATCCTAATTAGCTGGTTTTTGTTGTTGATATGTGTATAGTTTTGAAGATTCCTTAAGAGATTTATACTAAGGAACCACCTTCTATCTTCTTCCTTTCCTTTACTAATCCATTGCTCAAGATGCCAACTTTCTGAATTCCACACTTATAGATAGGGATAACTGAGCACGGAAGAAAAAGACTAAAAGAGTTTGTTCTGATACACGTTATGAAATCGGGTCATATATAGCGTGAACATATCGAAAGTAACGAAACGCACGTAATTCTTCTAACTTTTTATTTTACGAATATGTAACTTAGCTATCTAGTTTCATTATGAAGATTTCGACATAGAATCTTTCGATTGTCGTCGAAAAGCTCTTTCAGTAGTCTATGATGAGGAAAAATGAACTTTAAGTCGCGGGTCAGGAACCTTCTAGTCTTCTCTAATCAAAACCATTCGCGCTGCAACAATCGATTCCACATACCATATATGGAAAGAGCAAGGAAAGAATTTTAGTGGCCTAACAATGACACACCCAAATCAAAAGAGACAAAGAACAAAAACACATAAGAGCTATAGATTCCCCCCTTTCCTCCAATCTTCTCATCAAGACTAATACCAAAAGACACAAAGCATTCAATATACTACCCTATCATCCCCATTCTCCCTCTCTCACAAGAGTGATGGGTAAACATCATTTCTACCTCACAAGTCACAACCAAACAACCCCTTAGCTAAAAAAAAAATCCCATTTCCCATCCTCCAGGACTTTCCATTCTCCACATCATAAAAATTCAATGCATCCATCCATCCAACCAAACATGCCCTTAAATCAAATATTTTATAATATAAACAATCTTAATTCTCCCCATCCTACGTGGAACACACAATTCCCTCACCCTATAAATACCCTCCCTCCCTTTCCCCAAACCTTCCCAACTCATCTCTCCCTATTATAACTCTCACAACTACAAACTCAAGTTTAGGGTGTTTTTTAAGAGCGAAACGACGTAGCTTTCTTCGATGTCGGGGGTGTGGGTGTTCAAGAACGGCGTGGTGCGGCTGGTGGAGAACCCGGCGAGCGAGTCGGCGGCGGGGGCGCGTGGGAGGAAGGTGCTGGTGCACGCGCCGAGCAACGAGGTGATCACGTCGTACGCGGTGCTGGAGCGGAAGCTGTCGGAGCTCGGGTGGGAGAGGTACTACGACGACCCGGAGCTGCTACAGTTCCACAAAAGGTCTACCGTCCACCTCATTAGCCTCCCCAGGGACTTCAACAGGCTCAAGTCCATGCACATGTACGACATCGTCGTCAAGAACCGCAACATGTTCGAGGTCCGCGACCTCTAGAAGGATCTGTCGTATGCATCAGTGTTAGTGGTCGTGTGTTTGGATCTTCGTCAACTCCCATTATGCTTCTTTTTTTTTTTCTGTTGGTATTTGGGTTTGGATTGAATCGTCGGTCTATGTGCTTGAATTTATTTTTCTTCTTTTGGGATTCGGGGTGGGATTTCAATTCGAGGTTTGGGGTTTGGAGTAGGAGTATTCTGATGTAAGATGTGCATGGTTTTTTTTTTGTTAATTGTGGGGTTTTGTCATTTTGGCAAAGGTGTGATTGATGTTGTGAATGGAAAGAAAAAAAAAATCTAATGTTTGTTTCTGCTCTAGTTTCTCTCTTTCCTTTCTCTTATGTTTGATGATCTTATGACAGATTCGAGTGATTAAAACGAGAAAATTTTGTGTCTGATTTAAAATCCATCCGAAAAACACTTGTAAATGAAAGAGTCGGTTCTAAAAATCTTCAGCAAAACATTATTTGAATCATCTGTATATGTGATTTTAATTCTGACGAATCTGTAGAATGAAAGGAAGCTCGCGACTACACAGTCTCTGCTTTATTTTTGTCTCTTTTCTCTAATCTTATGTCTGATTATCTTATAACGACTCGAGTAATTAAAACTAGAAAATATCGCATTCAATGTCAAACTCATCATGAAAACACTTGTAAACAAAGGAATCATCTCAGAATCTCCACGAAACTATGCTTCCATCATCTTTTTTTTATGTGGTTTTCACTTTGACGAATCTATAAAAATGAAGGTGGCTACGAGTACGGTCTATACCGAACACGTTCGTACCCATCATCGCGTGCGTATATAATTTCTTCACGGAATTGATTAGCTAATAGTTACCACCTGAATGAACATGTACCTTTGTGTGTGTGATTGTGTCTGTGTGTGCATATAAGGAAAGAGTCAGGCAAGGCCAGCTAGGTGATGAATGAGACAAGTCCTATAGCAATTTGCTATTAGGTTTTCTTTCTTTGAAAAGAAGAAGAAGAAGAAGTGAATATTGAATTGAATAGCTGTAGGCAGGGGGAGTTGCATTATTATTTGATTGGATTTATCATTTGGAGATGGGATGTGTGGTTGGGATCCCATTGATGATTCTCTCTTCCAAACTAGTACTACTTTTGCCCAAATGGAAACCTTTCCCAAAAATGGAATTTAGAAGTGACATATATATTGTACGCATGATGAATTGTCCCTGACAGGCTCAAAAATTTCCCACATTACTTGTGGCTAGGTTTTTCTCACAAAATTTTCTTCATGTGGGGATTGATTTGATGTATCAGTAAGGTGAATTATTGATCTCTAGGGGCATCTTCTTTTACTGTTACGATAGTACTAGGGTGAATATTTTGTTACGGTGACATTAAATAGGTGTCAATAAAATGGTCATAGTACAAGCAGAAGAAGTAATTTGCTCAAGTTCTTCAAATTTGCTCAAAGTCAAGATACATAGTTTCTCGATAAACAAACCAAGAAAAAAAAATTTGGTGCTTGAGGGATCGAGACTGATTTTAGAGTGTTTGATGTATATGTTCAATTATGGATCTTATACTTATACGTATACAAAATTCAGATACAAAATCTCCCGATCATCAAGATCATCAAAAGCTATGATACCCAAGTATGTCAAGAAATGCAACCACCTTAATTAAGGATAATACTATTTAGGTTCATCTATCTTGGCGTTGCTTGGGTCTAACGCAAAGAGGTCTGTACTATTATCAAAATAGTATCCAAATTTATGATAATAGCATTATATTAAAGTATGACTAGTACGTATGATCATACTATTGAGGAATAAGGATCTTTGAGGACCCTTTAGAGTTAGGGATATTGGACGGAATTGAGGCTGGATTATGATATAATTTAGGAAAAGAGAGAAGAACAATTAAGAGAGATCTGAGAGAGGGTGGTCGACGGCCGAAAGAGATAAAAGAGAGAAGGAATTTGGCGTATAAGAGAGGGAGATAGAGAGAGAGATTAGGTTTAAAGAAATTACACCTTAAATTACAAAAAATATATAGATAATTCGCTTGAGCTACACCTATTTCACCCGCTAATAATCAAAACTACTAATGATTTCCAAAACACTCCATCAATTGAATACCTAAAATTTATAAACATATAATTTGTCATGGAGTCATAGTGTTCATTAGAGTCCAGCAATTAGATGTTTTTCTTGAAAGGGGAAAATCATAAATGAAAGAAAATTATATTTTCTGGAAACAAATAGAAATTGATAAGATGTTTTCACAAATCTCCAGAAATAAGAGTTTTTTTTTTATAAAAGCCAAAATCATAAAGATCTTCAATTCGACTTAGGGATGACAAAATAAGATTTAATATTTCGGTATTACCCAAACCAAAATTTTGGGATATACTCCTACCAAATTTTTAAATTTGGGTTTAAATTGGACCCACCATAATATTGGATGCCCAAATGAAAATATGTCTCGATTATAAATTTATAATGTAATTTATGTCTTATTTTTTTTGTTATGAAACAAACGAAACAGTGAAAACACCTATATTAAAGGCGTATAATTGGACTGAATAATATACTTAATGAAATGACCGACATTGTTTTTTTTTTTTTAAGTATATATTACTCTAGACCCAATTTAAACCAATTCAAATCTAAAGTCATATTATAAGTACACATATAACTACACGATAAGTCATTCTTATCATTAGCTAATTAAGGGTATACTGCTCACGTAGTGTTGACCTGTTGAAGACGTACAGTTTTTCAAGACCTTATATTAATTTGTCGGGTCAAAATTTGACTAGGAAACTCGAGAGTTATGACTTATGAAGTTGCGGTGCTGCATGGTACGTTACTTTCACTGCCCATGCCATGCATTTCTTTGCATTGCACTACTATCGCACTATATCCAGCTAGCCAGCGAATCCAACATAAACACGTGCACAATTTGAAAGACCTAACATTTCACACCCACTACGTACCAAAATGGAAAGACATTGAAAGTGTCATACGCTGTCTCCACATCAAATTTTCTCGTCGCTCTCGATATTAATCGCCGATATTTCCTAGAGCGAAGTCACATTTATAATCGTGCATTATTTTTTATCATTAGACGTGAGCACGTGAACGAATTGATCATCAGAAAATGTGTTCAAAATAAGTAAAGTACTACTTGTTGAAAATATAAGTACCTTAATGTAATTGTACATATAAGTCCTTAGTTATTAGGGTTAAGTAAACCTCTATATATATGAATGTAATCCGTGTATGCTGGGTAACAAGAATAATAAGATTGACTTGGAGAGCCTGCTCTCCCGTGGACTAGTCCTGTTGATCAGGGAAACCACGTTAAACTCGGTGTTCATGTTCTTTTAGTTTGATTTTGATATGGTATCAGAGCCTCTCTGATTCAAGGACTGGTATTCTTTGTTCGCAACAAGCTTTGGTGACTTCGTTCCGCAGCTAAGGTTCCGCAGCTAGGGTTTCTTTTTCGTCAGGGTCCCGCTGCTTGCTGGTCTTGTTCTTCCGCGTCGGTCTCTCTTTCGCGGGCAGGTACTTTGCTTTTCTTGGTCTTGTGTGCTGCTAGTTCAGTTGTCTAAGATGGATTCTCAGAAGGTTGGCAATATCTCCGTTAAGTTTGATGGGAAAATTTTTCCATTATGGGAGTTTCACTTTAGAAACTTTGTGGAAGGACAACGGCTGTCATCGATTTTGACGGGTGAATTAAAGAAACCCGCCGACACAGCCGATGAGAAGGAAAAGGCCGACTGGGCCGCATCCAACGCGCAGGTCGTCACTTGGTTGTTGGGAGCTGTTGATGTCCCGACCGCTCTCAGCTTACGTCGGTTTCGAACTGCTCATGAGATGTGGAAACATATCTGTAGTACGTACTCACAAGCTGATACCTCTCGGCTTTATGAGCTCGATCTAGAGCTTGGTGGTTTAGCTCAAGGTGATCGTGATGTGCGCAGTTATTATAAGCATGCACTTCATCTATGGACAGAATATGATCTGGTTACCGCTTCCTTATTGACTGGAGATGCTTCTGTTGAGGTTCAAAAGGAGCGAACTCGGACTCGGGTTATGCAATTTATCATGAAACTGAGGGCTGAATTCGAGCCCATTCGGGCCTCCTTAATTCATCGAGGGATCACTGATTTAGACTCTGTGATTGCCGAGCTAGTTAGGGAGGAAACAAGGCTCAAAAGTCAGTCCCGGATTGATCACCATACCTCGGATTCGGCATTTGCTGTGGGCCGATCCAACTCCTCCTCTCGTCCACAGTTCGGTGCTCCTCCCAGTGGTGATGTGATCTGCCATCATTGCCACGAGTCGGGGCACGTTCAGATCCACTGCAAGAAGCGAAATTACTGCAATTATTGCAAGAAGACGGGTCACATTGTTCTTGAGTGTCCTCCTCTTGTGAAGAGAGGTAAAGTTCGCTATCCCACATATGCTATGCCCGCTGGAAATGCTTCATCGGCAGGCCGCGTCACGTCCAAGCCTCAAGGCGCCGCCTTTGCTGTTTCGGACATTCCTCATGCGCAGCCTGAGGCCTCCTCTGGTGGCAACAGTTTGTCCTTTTCTTCTGAATTTGTTAAGAAACTTGTTCAGGAGGCATTGCAAGAGGCCCTGCCGCAAGCTTTGACATCAGCATTTGCTACTGGTGCTATCTCCGGTAAGTCAGCTAAATGGTTGTTAGATTCTGGTGCCTTTAATCACATGACTCATGTTCGTCATACGTTTGATAAGCTTGAACCAGTGCAAACTTTCCACCTGCGGGTAGCTAATGGGGATCAGATTCCTGTAGTTGGTCGGGGTACTTCGTCTACGGGCTCCGTTACTCTACCAAATACATTATATGTTCCTAGTTTGCTGCCCAATCTTGTCTCTGTCGGCCAGTTAGCTGAAACAGGTTGTGATGTTACTTTTAATTCAACCGGTTGTGTGGTACAGGACCAGAAGACGGGGATGGTGATCGGGAAGGGAAGTAAACAAGGTCGAGTCTATGTGTTGGATGAGCTGGGGCGTGTTCCACAAGCTGCCGCGGCTGTTCGAGGAGCTTCTGCTTCGTCAGCTCCTTTGTGTAGCAATTCGGTTTCTGGGTCTTTGTCTGGGCACTTAGTGAATTCAGTCGGATTGTCTTTGTCCAAGAAAAAGTCTGTTTGGGATTTATGGCACTGTCGTTTAGGCCATTTGCATTCTGCCAGATTGTTAACAATGTTTCGTCGGAAGTTATTACCAGGAAATTTTGATTCTTCTTTTGGGTCTCGATCG